AGAGTTGTCATGGAGAGATGTGCTGGACATGGCAGTGATTGACAATAAATATTAAATTAAGTAATTTAGTTTAAAACGAACTAAAAACCCCAAAGTTAGTGCCTAATGGATTAAATATGGATGTCTATTATTCAGTGGGTCATGTTTAAATTGATAATTGCGTAAATTCTAGATTTAGTGAGAAAAACTAATATATCGATATAGGCCAGAAATTAACTTTAAACAGCAGTGTCTGAGAGCAAGATTTGCTATATAAACAGCAGCCATTTGTAAAATAGAGTGGCTTCCCCTTGAATCTTGCGCTATAAGCTTATAAAAATAAAACTTAAACAAGATGACTGCTATAGTAAATGAGCATGGTTGCATCTGTTGGAAACATCGCTAGTCTTCATTTATTACGGAAAAGTTTTAATTCAATTGTTTAAAAACAGGTACATAAATGAAACAAGAAAACATGTTTGTATTTTAAAAAAACATAAATCCTCCTCAAAATGTGAAATAAGTATTAAAATTTAAGGAGTCACCTGTTTTTCACATTACAAGTCGCGGGCGATTTTACGTACCTAAAATGATAGATTACCAAGTAAGCCTATATTTATATTAAATTACACTAGCCATTGGTACTGGTACACAGGAATTATAATATTGTATAATAGTATAGTGTCAGTGCCGGCGCCAGGTTATTTAGCGCCCTAGGCAAAACTTATTAAAAGTGTTTGGGTTTTTTTTTAAACTAATTTATTTTTATTATTTTTGTCTAATAAAAGTAGATCTATAGATCTAAATCAGTTTGAATGAAATAGTTCATTTTTTTCAAATTCTAAAATTGGAAGATGTGGGAAGCGAATCTTTTTGAAGATGATGTCATTAATTTTGTGTATCATTATCAACATTTGATTTTTAATTCGCTTTTTTATCCTGCAATCAATGACGCCAATAGTGTTGCATACTTTCAGTAGTTTAGATGTTTTATTAACATTGTTATGCAATGATATTTTCTCAATTTTTTTCATGTGATGTGATTGTGTTTGTGCTGCTTATATGATCTTTTGACCATTCTTGTCACAACCATATACACTTTTGCGGGTTGTGTAATTAAAGATGTGTTTTTACATTAGGATATGCATTTATTTTTATTTTCTGTTTTTAAATCAAATTTAGTATATACATTTTATACATTCAACATATTATTTTCAACAATAGTCTGTTCTCCAAATATTGCTTAAGATACTGATCTCATAACCTTGGAAAATAATGTGACAGATAGAAAGAGAGAGGAGTGCGCACATGGGCTTTTATATATTAAGATACAAGATTCCACCTCTAGCTGGTCTTGGTCAAACGCCGATGTGGTATACAAGAAAAAAATATGATATATGGCTGCTTAATTACTAGCTAATCATTACAGGTATTAAGCAATACACAATTTGTGACACAATACTGGTCTTAGGTTTTTTTTTTAGGAGTACAAAATGGAAAGTTATTAGAGCTAGATCACACGTGTTGTTTTTTTTTTTATAGCCTAACCCTATTTCCAACCTGAAGGTTGTATTGGGCCGCTTTGAACAAAGTGGTGTTCAAAGTTATCACAATAGAAAGAAGTTGTTCATTCAAAATTGCAACTTATAACATTAAAACTAAAAAGTGTTTGAAGTATACATTGTAAATCATCAGGTACTGTATAATTTTTTTGCTGACAACTAAACCCCAACTAGCTTAACAATTGGGTGGGGGGTAAGATGCAAGACAATAATGTCACAAAGACCATTTTACTGCCTTGCTATTTCATGTCTTGCATTTTCCTAAGACTTGAGTTTTGCCAGCAGTCTAGATCTAGATCTAAATATATCTTAATCTAGATTAACAATGTGTACATTTTCATCAAAATGCCTAATTTTAGTGTTATATTTAATTAATTATGTTCTATTGTAGTGGGCTTGAGACTAAAGGGGTGTAACTGCTTGTTAATATAAATCCAGTTCTTTACTTTGGAACACACACAATTTATGACCTACTTTCAGCAGCACTTTTGAAAATGACAAGTAATTAATTCATGAGCGAAATCTTAATTAAATACATTACAGACCAGCAGTTTTTGCTACCTGATTTAGTTGACCATTATCAAATCCTTATTTTTAAATATCAACTACTTGATGGAAAAGAAGACTGATGCCATTTTTACATGAGGGTGGATATAAACTATGACATCGACAATATTTTGAACCTATTTTGAAGCCTAGCCATTAGCATAGTTTTTGTCTCTTATCTTACACTGTCTTTACACTAGCGACATGTATTCTATACATGTCTAGAAAAGAAAACTTCAAACTAAGTGAGTAGTCCCTCCCCCCAACTTGCTGTAATAAAATTAACTTATGACAAAGTTTTTTTTCTATACTTTATAGTATACATGTCGCAAGTGTAAACGCGGTGTTACAAGTTTAGTTAGTGGCATCAGTTTAAGTTTAGAGTAGAGCTAGAGCCTTGCCACTTCTCTTAGACTGCTTTAGAGTTCTCTCTAGATTAGAAATAGATTGAGTGGCTAGTTGAACAAAAATGAGATTTTCAGTTGTTATCTGTGTTACTTCTGTCTGTTGATATCAGTGTTTCTTCCAGACTCTTTTCTATATAAATTTCAATTCGTCCGGGGGGGGGGGGTCTCTGCCCCCCCCCCCCCCCCCCCGAAGAGATGCCCCCGGAAGAAACTCTGGTTGATATTGAATCCAGCTGTATAGAATTTGGTGTATTTAGTAAGCCTACCAGGTGACACCTGTGGACAAAAATACAGATTGTGATTGAGCTATATGATGTATGTATAGGGGTAGATTTGTATAGGTAGGGTTAACTGCACACAAGACCACACTAAAGGTAGATTATGACAAAGGCAATTGATTAAAAGAATTTTTTAGAAAATATTTGTGAAAGAATGTGTTGTAGTGATAGTATATGTGTTGTGTGCAAGTATGAATCAGCGGAAGCAGAATGAAGTAGTATGTGGTGGGGGGGGGGGGGGGCAGGGATTCTTTCTCTTCTATTAATTTCCTTCTGAGGTAACTATCAGTCTCCACACATATAGTTTAAAACTGTGTTGAGGACAAGAACACTCTTAATTCCGTGCATTCAATAAAACTCGACGATCAGCTTGATACACAACATTTAATTATATATGCATCCGATGATTGAATATAATAGGATTAACATCACTACACAATATACTTGTTTTCTACACCTACAGTTCAATGTTCCCTACACTATTGTCACTACACTGTCCTCTAACTTTACACGTGTCTACCTCCTTTTTCTACAATGTCTCAACCCCCACTAAGGTCACACTGGGCAATTAGATACGTGACTGCTACACCTACCCCCTGAATGATGTCGCCCGTAATTACAATCTAATTCTAACCCGTGCTTCGTCAATTGTCTCCGTCACGTGCATTGTTAATCCTACACCTGCATTCACGCCACTACATATATGGGGGGGGGGGGCATTCTTTCTCTTCTATTATTAATTTCCTTCTTACAATATGAGGTAACTATCAGCCTCCACACATATAGTTTAAAACTGTGTTGAGGACAAGAACACTCTTAATTCCATGCATTCAATAAAACTCGAAGATCAGCTTGATACACAACATTTAATTATATATACATCCTACCCACTGAATGATGTCGCCCGTAATTACAATCTAATTCTAACCCGTGCTTCGTCGTAGTTTGTAATGTATGTTACTAATAAATGTTATTTGTAACATCATTTCTTTCAATGCATGAAAAAATGTCTCATCACTAGTTGCAGTTAGATAGTTTAAAAGCAGAGTGTTGCAGAAGTACATATAAAACCGTCACAATATTGATAAATAACATGAAAAATCCATCTTTAAAGAAATATTTAGCATAGACATTAATTGGTCGAACAGTACTTTTAAAATCATTTATTAAGATTTGGTTGTCAGTAAATGAGTAATATTTGCCTGCAACGTTTTACCTTGGAATTTTAAATCTCTTGAATTTTAATTTAGAATTGTATTGAATAGATAAGCAAAGTTTTAGAAAAGCTGTTACATTTTTGCACCAGCTTAAGTTCAAAACTATGCTGGTATATTGAGTTACCTGGTATGCGAACTGGATATCTTAATAATAGGGCGTAAAATGTAACTTGTAGAAGTAAATAAAGAGTTTTCTAAGATATTAAGCTCAAGACACTTGTCACAGCAATAGCATCATGTTTCACTTAACCTTAGTTGCAAGACACACAGAAACAGGCAAAGTCCCATTAACAAAAACTATAAACAGTGATAAAATAAAAGCAGTTGTTGAGTTTAGGTTTAAAAACAAACAACACAGTTGGCACAATGACAGTTCATTACATTTTAAGACCAGATAAACCTTTAACAGCACATTTATAGTTTCTTCAAATTTTTAGCACTGAAGTGTAGGCCTATAGTACAAAAATGTTTAAATAATTTAATTCCTTGTTGTGTGCATAAAAAATTGGGTCTATGATTGAAGAGTACCATAGGTTTTGGCTTTGCTTAATTTAATATAGCTTCAGTATGAATCATATTAACAAATACCATATCTTGATGAGTAGAGGTGGATAAGTTTTGATTTTGAAAGAGCAATTTTTGTCTCAAATATTGTTTGAACCTTGGTCAAGATTACAAATATTGATGTTTATTTCAAATTACAAAAAGTCTTTAAAAAAATAATATCTGAAATTCAGTTTAAAATAATTATAAAAATGTACTTTGTAGAATGTACTCCCCCCCTCCCCCCCCCCCAGGAGTGATTAAATTATGATCTACCCATTACTCTGTAGTATAGGAAGTTCTTCTAACTACTGATGCAAGTCCACACTAAACCAGTAGTGGAGTTTGACTAGCCAGCATTGCCTATTTAAAAAAAAAATTACTTAATTATCCTTGAAGTTACATTGTATGGTTTTTTCCTTATAGTCTAACTAACCTATTTTCATTTAAAAACATTCTCATGAGGGCAATGTTATTTATAGTAACAATCTTCTCATGTGACCCCATGTGATATTTTAAAAACTTTTAACTCCTGTTTACTTCCTTGTTTGCTATGTGAAAACTGGAATTCCCAATTTGTGTATAGTATTTATTTACTTAACCAACGTGTTAAGAAAGGAAGTAAAATTGTCTGTGTTGATAAGTTTCAGACTGATAAAAATGTCTGCCCCACCAACCTACAATGAAAGTCAGCAACAAATGCCACCTGCTGGAGGTAGGTACACCATTTAGTTTTTTAATGGCTTTAGAATACCTAATTAGATAATTAATGGTATTCAAACTCCATTTACTTTTGTCTATTTATTTTAAAATCTAAATTATATAAAAAATAAAGGTGCATACATAAAAAAAAATGTATGAGTGGTGGTCAAGAAAATATTTCTAAAATTGTATACCTTGTATAGTAATTAGTATAAAAATATAGCCTAGCATGTTAAAAAAAAAATTTCTGAACTATTGAACTAATTATAGCATGAGATTTATACAGTCTCTTAACTTGTTAAACCTTGTACTGCTACTACTGAACTATTGTTGTGGGTTGATCATAAATTTTAACTAGTTCTGAGCAAGTGTATTGCTGGGAATAAAAATTTGAAAGTTATTATCACAACACCAACAATTAAACTTCAGTTGGTGTGAAAAGGTATAAAAGATATAAAGTAAAGAATTGTTTAATCTCCTTATAACAGCATTCTAATATATGGGCAATTTCTTTTTTTTTATACAGCTTACCAGCCTTCGTACGGAACTGTGAATCCACCACCTGCAGGGGCTTACCAGTACCCACCAGCTGGAGCTGCATATCCACCAGCTCCGCAAGCTGGGTATCCACCAGCTCCAGGCTATGACAAGCCAGCTGGCCAATACCCACCTAACTCAGGCTACTCTTACCCTCCCCCTGCTGGCGCTGTCCCCTCGTATCAAACAAGTAACAACCTTGTCATCACGCAGCCCACCCAGTCAGTGGTTGTTGTAGGTGGTTGCCCTGCATGCAGGGTAAGCAATTTTTCAATCTACAAGTTGCTTTGTGAACTAGTTCTCTAGAATAATATTCAATGCAGTATGTGTACATCTTTTCATTTATGCATCTTTCATTTTATTTAAATGCTGTTTCAATCTCCGTTGTAGATCAAAAGTAGAGTTTTTATAGCATTTTTTCGGATACATTTCTGTAAATCTTACAAATCTTAAAGTCTTATTATCCTTATCTTGAGTTAAATCTGGCTTCAAGTCTACATAATGTCCCTGAGTCCACCCATCTCTGATGGGAATCTTGCTCATATTAGAGAAAGTAAAACATGTGAACTCTACTTCACTTGCCCATAGACCATCAGGTTAAAAAAGGAACTTTTTATTTGCAGTTCACAATAAACTAAAAATCTTTACTCTTCTTTGATTTTTAATTTAACTTGAAAATACAATGCCATTAAATTAAAGATACTGCATGAAGCTTAAAGTTATGTATAGTCTAATTTGTTAAAGAACTTGAAACCCCCCCCCCCATCTCCTATAAAAAAAATTGTAAAATACAAAAAGTTTATTTGCTGTTGGTCTTTAACATTAATGTATTCTTTCACCCTGATGGACCATAGATCAGATTAAATAAAGTTTATGTTTCTGTGACCTCTGCAAATAGAGGAATTGTGTGACTAGCTTCATATCTAGCTTCCCTTACTTTCCCAGACTTGTCGAGCACCCATCAATGTTGAGCCAACTTTTTAAAAATCTTTCTGTAATATTTAGTATATTTTTTATAGTTTATTACAAGTGATGTATAATTTGATGAATTACAGGTTGGCTATTTGGAAGATGATTTCACCTGCCTTGGTGTGCTGTGTGCCATCCTGTTCTTCCCTATTGGTATCTTGTGTTGTTTGGCCATGCGCCAGAGACGATGTGGAAACTGTGGTGCAGTGTTTGGTTAGACCATCTGATAAGCCAAGTACAGCATTGGATTTAAACATTAGGCTCTCTGACTAACTTGTGACCAAATTTCAGATGTTAGATGACAAAAAAAATGTTTAATTTCTAAACATACTTTATTAGGGCAATTTTTTGCTTCGTAGCTTTATTTTTTCCAAAAAAGTAAATATTAAAAAAATTTAAATAAATTATTTTTGTTTTACACAATGATAATTTAAAATTATGGTTTTAGGTCAAAAGCACTTTTTCTTTTTAAACATTAAGAAATGGATTACTCAAATTAGTGATTTGTTCAATGTATTAATAATATGATAAAACATTGCATTCCAATCAAAGTGTAAACAATGAGTTCTTCATGGATTGAAATTAATATTTTGTTTAAAGAATTTAATTTCAGTTATAAATATTACCTATCATTTTGCTTAGTGGTGTACCAAATTTGGCTTAGTGAAAATATGAAGAAAAGACTACGTTTTAGTTTACAAAATATTTTCTGCACTGTATAACAGTGAAGGATGGGCATGTGAGGGTTGTTTTTTTTTTTTTGTATAGTATACTGTTTTACATGATGCAATCTTTTAAGTGTCAATTACTTTATTATTATATCAGGTTTCAAGGATTAGTGTAACTTTGCACTGATATCAAAATGTATGCTTATAAATATGTTCAAAATAATACTTATTTTCAGTTCACCATGTAACTCTGCACTTAGGTTTGAGTTGTTATGCACAATTATGACCAAAAGTTGGAAATAAGTGGAAGGGGTGTAGGATTTCCTAATAGGGATTTCGTCTTATTTTTTTTTAATTTTGTGGTGGTTTTTTTTTTTTTTGCTTAACTAAATTTATTTTTAAAATTCTTTACGTTATTGAATAAATTTTTAAAAATTTATTTTTTTTTGTTGTAAAACTGATTCAGTCTTGATTGAAAAAAAAATTGCAATTCATGTCTGAAACAGTTATCATCAAAATAACCAAGCATTATCTAAGCAATTAAAAAAGAGATGTAAGATGACTTGATCATAGTGAAACAAATGAAACATTTTTAATCAAACTACTGTTACTTTGGTTGTACTTGGGCTGATGGTTGGCCATGTACATTGGGTTAGCTTTTCCAGTGGTAGTCAAACTTTGATAGTCACCTTGATCCCATGTAAAAACTTGCACACTTGTTATTTTCATGTTTATAAAATGTCCAATAAATGTGTCATAGTTTGTATTTTAAACTGCTTAGAATTACCCATAATACACTGTATATTAATCTTGTGTTGTTTCTAAACTTGGTTATGTCATATATATTAAAATGCAGGTTAAAATTAAATTGTTATTGTATAAATGTATGTTATACATCATAAAACAGAAGTATTACAAGTTTCTTTTATCATGGAACAATGTTAGTCCTAGCTGTTGATTTCTGGTATATTGAAAGCATCAAACATTTTTGTGCCTTGTGTAATCAAATCCACACCTAAATCAATGTGCATTTTATTTGTACAAACAAAACAGCTTTAAAGAGCCGTAATTTTAAAATAATTTTAAATGTATGACACATGTTTTAACAAGTGCTTAAAGCAGATTCACATAAACACATATGTTTTGTAGCATTATTTCTGTTATCAAAGAATGTTTTGTATAGCCCACGAAAAGAATTAAATTTACTTGTAAATTGTTGTAAATCACTCTAGACTTATGTTTGTAAATAAGATCAAAAAATAAATTATGTGCTATAGGTTTTTTGTTATGTTATACTATGGTTGAGTTTGAGTTGTCAGTGGTCATATCCCCCCCCCCCCCCCCCCCCCACGACAAAAACAAAATATTTAAATAAGAACATTTTTCTCACAGATGAAATCAACTTAATCAGGACAATCATACCTAACTTTTTGCATCATGTAAAAACTTGAAGAACTTAAATTTACTTCAAAATCATTTTTATTGAAAAAAATCTGGCATGTGTACAGTAAAAGTAAAGATGCATCAAAAATGTAATAGTCCCTAAAACTGACTATAGACAATTCACAAGACTAGTTCATATACATAGAAGTTGAGTCATGTGATTTGCAAACAAAAAAAATAGCCCCTGATAACAGCATTGACTTAATCAAGTTCTGCATGTCATTTAAGACCAGTTTCTCTTTTTATATAAAGATCTATGCTTGCTTCTACTTTTTCAAGGTTTAATTTTTAATTTTTCTTTTGAAAAAGAAAAACAAAACCTAATATTTTATGGGATTAATTCTTTAAATAGAGCACATGATCCAACATCAAATAACTTTGCAAAAAAATTCTGATCACTTTAAGAAATTTAGAAAGTTTTAACTCATTCAATACATTCTTTTGTAAAGTATCAAAGACACATTCCATACAGTCAAGATTTAAATTAACATCAATTGTATCACAAAAATACAATGGTATTTTTTTTTTACAGTTTTCAAATATTCCAATCAATCTTGTGAAAACTCCCTTTTACACAACAAACATTTATCAATCAAAATCACACAGTGGTCAAAAGCATGAACACCATTAAGAAACCACTTCATCCCTAAATGCTAAGCACACAACTGCCTTTTCATGTCCACTGTATTCTCTTTTGATTTCACCTGTGTTTACGCTCCATAGTCTGGCATTATTATCTGAAGATGCTGAAAAAATGGAATTGGACTACCATAAACATTAATGGAAAAAAATTGCATTATATGAAATTATCAATCTGTAGGAAAAATAATTACACCGCCTTGAAGTGGTGGGATGGCCCGTGTGCTACAGCTACCCCCAGAGCTATGCTGGCGGGAGCCTAGTGCTCCTGGCAAGTCTAACAAGGTGAGATCTGCGAGGGTAGAGGCCTGACCAAACATTGTGCCCTGGTCCTCCAGGTTGGGGTGTTGTGTGAAGGGTTAACTACTCATCCACATAAAACAAAGTATAGTTACAGAAACCAAAGCCAAAGACCTTCATGAACAGATTCCTTAGAATTTGAAATTGAGGTGGCAGGACAAAGTGTTCAACATAGAATTATGGAGAAAAGCAGGGCAAGAGCCTTGAGTGGAACCTCAGGGAAAGTGGAAGAAAGGGTGCCCAAGACAGACCTGGAGGCGGAGTCTTCTCGAAGAACTGAAGCCAAAAGGGATGTCTTAGGAGACGGCAAAATTAATAGCCGGGGATCGGATGAAATGGTGGAGGCCCTATGTTCAATACGGAGCAAAGATGACTAAGTCAAGGAAAAATAATAATACTATTTAAAGTTAATTAACAAGTAATAATTGATCTGAGCTTTGTTAAAATAAGAAAAAATATATATCAAAACTACATGATCGGGTTCCCTCAGAAATCACCTAGTCCGGCAATATTCTGTGATGTCCTTTTTTTTATTTTTATTTTGCCAAAAATGATTTGCTTCAATTAAAAAATATTACTACTCTTGGCTTTAAATAGATATCCAGTTTGTCCCTAATTCACATGCACTTTTTCAAAGAACTAATTTTAAACTTAAACCAAAAGGACACTTGGACATGATATACCTGTAATGATGTACTGGGAGTCACCACTAAAAGCACAGTCCCACACCCAGCGCTGTGACTTATCTTTCAGTTCTGTACACAGAGACAGATCAGCTGTCCTCCATATCCTGCAGGTACCATCTGCTGACGTGGTTGCTAGGAGACTGGTAGACAACAAATAGTTTTAATTAAAAATGCAATATTTTTTCCAATAAAAATCCTTATATAGTGACAGAAAATAAAAGCCTTATACAAGTTTATTATTCTGAGCAAAAAACACATAGTAAGTAAAATCATGTATTCATCACTGATCAACTTACGTGGAATCTGGGCTAAAAAGACATTTGAGTATGTATTTACTGTGAGCCTGAAACTTCTTTTTCGGATGTAAATTGGATGGTCCATTGGCACGACTGCTGTTCATAGTCCACAAGTAACAATTGCCCTATTATAGCAGATGGAGGGTTATACTTTTTAAGTATTATAAGCTGATTTTTTACATCATTCTAGTCTAATGTTTTGTTGTTTTTTATAATTTTGATACACTTTAAAAAAATAATCTTCATTGAAACCTCATGAAACAGGTGGCATGTAAGACTGAAGAATACAAAAAATACATTACCTTATTGTTAACGGCTGCCATTAATGTTCCCATTGGATCAATGCTGACTGAAGTAATTGCTGCATCAGGTTCAGGAATCTGAAGCAAAATAAAAGTTACAATCATTTTAAGAGGTACTTTATCATTTGTAAAAATACTTTAGGTAGAATTATGGAGTTGGAACACCCAGTGGTCACTTGACAGGATGGCAGTTTGATGGTAAATCACTCAAGGGAGACCCAATAATATCTTTATATTTCAGCCTCTCTTCATGCATCATTTTTTTAACACCAACAGCTAATAAAACTTAAGTTTGAAATTTTTTTGGTTTGAATGACATGACATACCTACTATCTATCTGCATACATACAAAAAATTTTGTTTATAAAATAAAAGCAGACAATGCCTGTATAGTAATACTAATACCATGTTTTAAACATTCATTATTACACTACTTCAAAACTGCACCTGCCCTTCATCAGCATAAACATCCCCCAATCACAAATCATCCCACTAATTGCCGCCTTGAAATCAAGCTAAAGATTATCCCTTAGTACATGATCTAGTCATAGTACTATGTAGTGTATTGTATTTTGTGGCATGATTTTTTTAATACATTTATTTGCATAATGGTTTCTATAAAAAACATTTTTAATTAAAACTTCTTTTTAAAAGAAAATTTAAACTGTATAACAAAATAACCTACCAAATGTTCATTTATGTCTGTCTTCAAATCCCAACAGTGTATAGAACCACTTTGGTCACCAACATACAATTCACCCTTTTAGAAACAAACAAATAATTACTCTTTTGAATATATAATCATATTCGTGAGTTTAATTAATATTTTACAAGGGTGTGTTAAAAAATAAAATACATATATTTTTAGGATATACATTTTAGTGTCTGTCTTATATAATTAGTATGAACTGCTTTACCTGATTAGGGTGAAGTGTAACACAGTTTACTGGGGCTTTCACCTGAAATATCCGTTGACATTGTAATGTTCTAGATCTGCAGGAATGTAAACAAAAACATTTGTACTTAAAAAAAAATGTTTTTGATGCAATGTAAAAAGTTTTTAAGATAACATATTATAAATAACTGTTTTAATTTTATCCATTAAAACAAAGTTAAATTTCAATGTGATTAATTAATAATAGATAAACAACATCTCGACATGTAAATCACATTTTATTATTTAAAAAGTTTCTTTATTCTTTTAGCCCTAAAAATTGAAGGTAAAAAGTGACTTTAGGTGCTGCAACAGCTAGCAAAGAACCACTTTACCTGAGATCCCAAATTTTAGCTGTGTGATCCTCTCCACCTGTGTACATCCATTTACCCTCTTCATGAAAACCTACGGCAGTCACATTCTTCTGTATGCCTTCATAATTGATTAAAGCATTTGGATTTGATGTGTTCACATCATACATGCGTATATGCTGATAGCCTGGAGAGAATTTTTAAAAACCATAGATTAAACTTACATAAAATTAATGTTATTGGTCTAATAATATTATAGTACTTTAGTTGTAATTGAAGAAAGTGAAAGATTTATTGCTTCCAGATTCAATAAACTACAAAAAAAATGTGTTTAAAATAAGCTTTTAATTTCTAATCATAGAGGTAGTAATTTAATAAAGAAGTGTAATGATATTGATAAATCGTAACATTATTTATTTATTGACAAATTGTAACATTAATGACAAGCCTTGATTAACAGAGTGAAATAGTAAAGGAAAGAAAAGTAGTTGTAAGTATTTACGGCTAAATGATTAGACTCTACTGTTCTTTTTAAAATTATCTTAAAGAAAAATATTCAAGCAGATAAAACATACCTGCAGCTGCTATTAACTGTTTGTCAGGTGTAATCTCTAAAGCATTTACTTGATGGGAATGAATTAAGGAATATATTTTCAAGTTGTGACCTGCCTAATACACTATAAAGGTTAACAAACAAAACAATTAGAAGGACAAAAATTACTTCAAGTTTTACCATTCAGATGAAAACAATTTGTTATGAAATGCATGGTCAACTTGTAGAGCACTTGGTTACTAACCCATAAGTTGAATGTTTATAATCCACCACCCACCCTTCCCCCCCCCCCCCTCCCAAGAACTAATGGGTACCTACCTAACTTAGGAAAATAAAGGGCTGTGCATAGTGCTGATCATATTATTACTTAATATCTGAGGTCAGCAAAGCAGAAGAACTCTTCATCTGCCTTATGGACCCGCTAAAAGGGAAATTTTTTTAAAACAATTTGCAATTAAATGTTTAAGTAACTTAATGTAAAGCTGTGTAAGTTTTGTAAATAGAAAAATGACTTTAAGCCGTAACTGGATCCTTTTTGTCTTATTTAAAATTAAAATTAAAGGTAATGAAGCAAACAGCCGATTCAAAAGATAATTGAATTCCATAAACATCAATGATTTGGTACAGACCAAGCAACCTATTAATCTTCTTCTTTTCTTCTTCTTCATTCTTAATTTTTAGTGTTGGAAGGGATCGAGCCTTATCTGCCAGAGGGTTTAAACGCGAGACTTTTTTCGAATTTTATCAACCATGAGTTGTTGTTTTTGCAGACTCGACCACACCTCCATCACAATTAAGGATACGTTTTAACTGGTTATGCGTCATTGAGGCCATTGACTCAGATTTCAGCCTGCTTTTCTTTTTGCTTCCATAGTCTTTGTCCAACCAAGAACAAACTACAAGGCAGCAGTTGTTTGATTTTGGAGTTGTCTCTCCTAGAAGAGTGGCTGTCCCCAGCTAACGAGCCTCATCTGCCCAAGGGTTTGAACTCGAGACTTTTCAGTTTAGCAACCATGAGCTTTACCAACTCGACCACGCTGTCCCCACCTATTAATCAATAATTAGTTAATAACAGTCATATTACTGGATGAATTTTACAAAATACTATTGTAAGTCAACTCTATCATAACCAAAGGTTAGGTTAATGTTTCTGTATATGGCTATAGCAGAAGGGATTTTTCTGAAATATTTAGTGTAAACAATAATTTTAAGATGGCCTGGTTAGAACTAAAGTAAATGTACCAACTATTGATGCTCTTGTTAGCACTACATTTAATTATTTACATACAAGCACTTTAATTAAAATGGCAAAAAATGTAATTAAAAAAGAAAAAGCTGGCTGGGTTGTGGTTTTAATTTTAAAAACTTAACATTTTAAACATAACATGTAGTGTAGATAATGAAACAAATTTAGTAAGTTAATATACCCTTCAGGTATCACTGCAAAAAGTAATTCTTCTGACTCTCTAAGTCAATGAAACTAAAACAATTTAATATCAAATGTAAATAAAAATGCATGTTGGTTTTTATTTTTAGTAATTTTAGCTAACACTACAGCAAGAACTGCTATAGATAAGCCAACCACAATAAACTACAGATTTACATACATATTAACACAGCCAGATTAGTCTTTGGACCTTGATTAGATTACTAAAGGTTTAAAGCCAGTTTAAAGTTTAAGCTAAAGGATACTGAGTCTGGATGTTGTACAGTTCTGTGACATATGCCACTATGAGCCTGCCAAAACCGAATTCTGTGATCATATCCAGCAGTTGCTAAAATCACAGGATCACCTCCACCATTTGCCATTTATCCTTTTGTCTGGCACTGTGAAGCATTGAAGATATTATTAATTAAAAAAGTAAAGTACTCTAGTTAGTCTAGTTCTAGTAGTACAAGATATAGCTCTAGTAACTAGTAGTAGTGTAGTAGAACTAGTAGATTAAAAAGTCTAAATAAGTAAATATAGTTTAGTTAGTTATGCCTTAGCCTTTTTACGCCCTATTTAACTTGCTTAACAACACAACACCCACCAGATCAGATAATGATCAAAATCTCGACAAGCAAGAATATTTAAAGCAGACGCTATTAATATTATAAAAAAGGAAGCTAGAGAGTTAGAGTTGCTTCTGGACTGGATTCATTCTTAGTTCTTAGTTTAGAAGTTGAGATGATTTAATTTGTTTGAGAACTCGCAGTGGTGATAAACTGAAGAAGAGACACACAAAAAGTTAGTTATTACAAGACTAAATCTGATTTAGGAAATCAGTCAGTGAACTCAGTGAGACAATAAATAAACTCTCACTCTCACTGAGATTTTATTTAGATCTAGATTCTAGATCTAGTCTAATATTTATTATTATTTCTTGACTCGAGTCTTGAGTTCGGCAGGACCAAATAGTAATGTTAGGCAAAAGTAGAAAAACGAAAAAAATAATTTAGTTAGACCATTCTGCCTATCAACAAGGACGGGTACTTTTTAAAAAAAAATGATTCAAAGGGACATGATTTTTAAATGATAATGCAATAATAAAATACACGAAAATATACCGAAATTCTTAATTGTATTAAAGAAGTAAGCCGAGCATTCAAAGTAGATTGTAGATCGAACTCAAATAGTGGTAGTCGCCATCTTTATCAGTCTGATAAGCATTGTCTCCCTTTATTGTCTATTGAGCTTTCTATGGCCTAGAATTTTCAATAACAAACACGAGGCCCATAGGTCTATATGCCCTATCATGCAACAGTAATAAACGTTTATGATTATGAGTAAAATAGAAAAAAATAAGATTCATAAATTCCTAATTTAATTTTAATAGGCCTACAGATTAAAAATCTAGACCTAGGTGTCGTCCATAAACGACGTCACACAGTATTAAAGAAAGGGGGGGGGGGGGGAAGGGGGAGAATTGAGGTTGCGGCGTGACGTCATTTTCGGATGGTCTATGAACAGTGCTTCTTCCAGACCCTTTTTTCCTCCACGGGGGAGGGGGGGGGGGGAAATGACGGACACTGTTAAAAGTATATATCTTCTATATAAAATCCGTTTCGTTGGGGGGGGGGGGGGGGGGTCGAAGGAGATGCCTGGAAGAGACTCTATGATTGGGACACCCTAGCCCTAAGTTTAAAATTGAAGCAACTCTTGCTTGCTCTTGTTTGTTTTTTGTTTTTTTAACTGATGCATAAATAATTTTTCATAGACTGTAGGTTTTTAATTTTAAATAATTTAGACTAACATGTAGTTAAGAATAACTTTTTTTAAAGACATGATCTTTACAAAATATAAAACAATAATTTATTGAGTAGCTTTCAGGATGTACAACCTTTATTCAGATTAGTAATTATTCAAGTCCACCTACTTCGTTATATGATAGTAAAACACTATGCTGCATCATGTCATTATTCTCCTTAGAAGAGCGCTGGTTATTCTGAGGAGTGGGGTAATTTTAGTTTCTGTATTTGTTTTACTTGGATGAGTTGTTAGCCCATCACCAACCCCTAACCTGGAGGACCAGGGCACAACATTTAGCCTGACCTACATTTAAACCTGCCAAAAGCACTAAGCTCCTACCAGCACAGCCTTGCGGGTCCCTGGGATGTACGAGCCACCCACTGTTTCAGGCCTGTCGAGAAGGACAAAGCATGAGCCTGTGGCAGCATAGATCAGAAAGAGAAAGTGGTGCTGGGTGACACATCAGGTCCTTTAATGGAATGCCAAGGGGAGGCGAGGTGGAGTCAAAGAACTAAAGACCCCCCCCCCCCCCCACCCCCCGGAAAAAAAATGTCTGGAAGAAACACTGACAAGAATGCCGTTGGGAGGCAGCCAAATATACAGCTGGGGGCTGGACAAAGTGGAAGGTTATGTTTGAGGCCCTATGCCCTACAAGGAGTAAAGAGGACTAAGTCAATAACAAAACAATTTAACAGCACAAATTTAAAGATAATTAATAATAGATTATTCTGTGATGATTATAATAAAACTGAGTAGACTTATGGTCTTAAATCAACTCAAATTATTATTAACCAAACTTTAATTTTAGCAAACAGAGGAGGAACATCTATAGGACCATTATTACTAAAAAAAAGTATTAGAAAAGAATATGGAAAAGACAAGACACTCTTCAAAATTAGAGTTTAAAAAATAGTAAAAGCAATGAGCTAATTTTTCAAGTCCTTTATTTCAGTTCTAAAAGTTCTTAACATTAAAACAAAAATGATCTCAACACAAATATTTCAGCAGAAGCATATGCTTTGCTTAGCAATATCTCCCAAGAAATTTAACAGAAGAGGAAATGAACAAAACCATTTCATAAGAGCAGACACAAATCCCTCTTTCAAATATAAATTAAATGTGTAAACAGATTTAGAGTTAAATTGACAGAGACCTTTGTTATTGTAACATCTTCCATATTTACAAACGTGAACATTGATTTCAGCAATTATGATGAGGTACTGTATCAGTACAAGCAGCAAACCTTCACTTGCCCTATCTGCCAATCATCAAAAACTCATCATCAGGTCCAATTTTAGAAAGCAAGAAATTTTTTAAAAAGCTTTGATTTACTCTATGCAAAATAAAAAGAATAGTGCTAACCAATAATGTGGCATTGAATAAAAAAATAAATACAGGTTGCAATCTCAGAATATTTTTTTTCCAGAAATAAACATGTTCCTTTATTAAAATTCAGGTTTTTTGTTTCAGGATAATTTAAAAAGTCAATATTTATACCAGTCATTACTGCTTACTTTTTCAGTGAGGCTCTGAACATTATGTCAATTTTAAATTTAAGTTAAGTAGTGATACACTTATAGGGTGCAATATAAAAAGAATTTTGTGCCCAGCTGATTGAACATTTTCTTCAGTGAGTTATTGCTGAATTAATGATTTTTTTTCTCCCATAGAGCTCAAGTGGCAGTGAGCTCTATATATTAAGTGGGTTACAGAGAATGAGGTATAAGTTCATGATTTCAGTCAAATAAAAGGGAATTAAAATTTGCACCATATTGATAGCAAACACACTTTTTTTATGTTTTATAAGGAGCATTAATAATTTACCCTTAACTACTCTAACAAAACAAAAATCACCGAAATTCTTGTACAATAAATATATTAGCATGCCTTTTTATTAAACGTTAAAAAGTAAGCAGAAATGTGAAGGCAAAAATAATTCGAAAGTGATTTAACTTATTTTGATTTTGTTGCTTGATGGTTTCATTATCTCCTCTGTGCTTCCTTTATTCTCCTCTTTAATATATGAAGATAAAAAAAAATTCACAGAGCAAAATAAAAAAAAAAATTGCAGAAAACAGTGCCATTTATCTAGAATACTTAATAAAACAATTCCATCAATAGGTCATCCATTTATGACAGCTACCAAAAAAATTGGGATTTTTTCTTACTCAAACAGTCATTAAAATCATCATGAGAACATTAACATTAACCCATTGCTTCTTACGTAGTTGTCATAAAGGATGACCACTAACCATAACAAAAATGCAAAATAAAATTATAATAAACTTTATACACAAACTTTAGTTTAAACCTCATTCAAATTTATTTTGTAAAGCAAGAGAAAAATAAACAGTTAAGAGAAAAAACAGAATGAATGAACACTATATATATATGAATATACAAATACATGTGCACATACATACATATATATATATATGTATATATAAAATCACTCACCCTGGTATATACATATATTTACAAATATAAATAAGATAACCAGAGTGATAAATGTACATCGTTATGATAAAAATAAATCATGGGTACACTCATTTTACCAACAATTTTATTTAGAAACGATGTTTTATTGAAAAAGTAATTATTAATTTTGTAAAATAAGAACGTTTTTTGGACAAAACACTTCACAAATGTTTTCAGATCAACAAGATAAGTCAAATATAAAAGCTAAATATTCCACCTTTAAAGATGGGTGAAAAGATCATCCCTGACTAGAATAAATAATGTTCAAACCATGTATTTTAGCAGAAATGAATACACTTGTTATACAACAGGTCCCCAAAGTGTAAAACTATTCACTTAAATAACTCTACACCAAATGTTAGTGAAAATAGTGGAAAACTCAAATATGGGTTTGTGTACGTAACAGTTAAATGCACCTTTGTTAATCCAGAAAAAAAAATGTAAAAAAATAAAAATAAATGATGTTGAAGATGATGTCAAATGAAGGAAATGTAAAAACTTATAGTAATAAAATCAGAGGCAGTTCAGCATTTTACTAGTTACTCAACAATTTTAATTTTGTTTATTTAAAAGCTTATTAAAACTAAAAGAAACATTTTCAATAAGGCATGATTTGAAACTGAGATAAATCATTTATTATACCGAACAATGAAAACTAGCTAGTGCTAATTTAATCATTTAAGAAGTCTAATATTCCAGACAAATGAAATAAAACAATAGGAGTCATCCTAAATTATACCATGTTATTTTAGCTGCTTTCTCTCCCTTTCCAACACTCATTTAAAATAAATTTTCCACCCCCACTCCTCCATTATTCATCCATTTATTTTTAAGAAATACAAAATGTTTGCAACATCACACTTTTTACCTTATTGCTAAATTATCACCTAAGGCATTGACCCCCCCCCCTTTCCACATATACAGACACATCCTGAACCTTAATAGCAATGTCATTCATCATTAATAAAACTTGCTTTTTATTAAACATGAAGTGATAGAATAATTATACTAAACACCTTTAAACTTGCTATTACCAGATTATTTAGGAATGAAAATGAAACACAAATGACTTTTAAAATTGGTAACTGTCAACACTTGAAAATATCACGCACTACTTATCAATCAGTGGTAATAGCAACTAATTTCCATCCATTCAGTATCAAACACTGATTTAGAATTCTTCAGCCCAAGGATTCTCTTCAAGGTATGTATCAATAACCTCTTTTAAAGAAAAGTTTGGAATCAGCTGTTCTTGTGTTAGATCTGTGCGTGTGACTGGATCAAAGTGACCAACTCGCTGTTTAAAAAAAAGGCAACAATTTTTTTTTTTAATAAGGGTCATTAATAAGACAATTTTCAAAATTCTTAATTCAATTAAAGCATTAGTACAATTTAAAAAAGTCAGGTTTTCTTAGCGAAACATTTCTTAGTTGCATGCGATAATATTCTTCTTCGTCATAAATGAGCTGAAAGTTAAAAATGTCAATCTTGATGTAGGTTATGAGCTTACCTCTAAGTGATAATAATTACCATACTGTAACAGTTTAGAAACTTACCTGTAAGTGTTCAATAATATCCTTCTTGTCATAGGTTATTCCACTGGGTGTTATTACTGGTTCTCGCATGATCTCAAAACTAATTTTCCCACAAAGATAATCTGGAACATCCCTTTTCTTTGAAGATTGAGATAAAAATATTTACTTTATAGCTTAAAACAATAGAAGTTAATACTAAGAATGTATGCATGTGCAAAAATCAAATCTACCACTACTGTTAAGAAAAAGTACACTATATCTTAAACCAAAGATTAACAGATGTAGTGAATCTTTAAATAATTTTAGTTTGTTTCACCACATTATGTAAGGAATTATTTTATTACCTTCCTTCTTTCATCCAACTGAACAAACAGCTGGTTCACTTCAGCTAATCTTTTATTCTAAAAAAAAAATTACACAAATTAACATTCCCTTAGCAGTGTGATTTTCTACTGTTTAACTAACTATATTATGCAAGTATCAAACACATTGAATATGGATGACACTGACAAGGCATATTAATCCTAAACTTATTTCTTCAACTGAACCCAGTGTTAACTCATAACAATAAACTGAGAGAAATTATTTTGGTTTACTAAGCTTGAATACAATTACAAGAAAAATGTAAATAGTTGTACAAACTGAATTAGAAATAATAGTAAAGGCAAAGAAACTTTTTACTTTTTGCTATTGACAAAAATTAGCTGATTCTTATTACCTGCACACATTCATTATCTCTCAGTTTAACTAATTTAAGTTTTTAATTAACAGACTTACTGTTGTTTCTATGATATTATCAAAGTCTTCACAGCTAACCATTTCATCTTGCTTTTTAAGACCAATAATTTGCCTGTAAAGATAATCGTATTCAGAATATAAAACTTTCTATTATTGTAAAATGTACAACAAATATTAATTTCAATTTATTTAAGCTAAAGATAAACTATAGAATTAGATATCAGTAATAGATTAATAAAACATACTGTGAATTTAGCAAAGCATATTAGACAACTATCACAAGCAGGTTATACAACTGCACCCACCTTTCCTTGTCTTCATTGATGAGTCTATTTAAATATGACTGAAGTTCAACCTCTTGTTGAATACGTTTCTCCTCTATTGTATTCCAACGTCTCTTTTTGGCAACTCGAAGAGCACTTGTAATATCATCTCCAAAGTTCAGCTTTTGATCTTTCGATAAATCATGAGCTGAAATTTAAATTCTATTAAAGCAATAGCAAACAGTGTAACCTTTCTCAAGATAGTAGCTAGATTAACTATATGCTTTACAAATGTGACCAGACCAGACCATGAAAAAACACAGAATTTTTTTTGGACCAGACTTAATGCTTTACTTTATTACAAATCAGTCTCACACCATTATTGTACTAATTAAAGATGGTATCAATATTTTTTTTTAAATGTAAGACTCAAACAGTAAAGAGCCTAATTCTCGATTGTAATTTGAAAGTTTTAGTTAATGTGATAGAAAAAGAAATTGACCAGATGATTAGCTGAAATTAGAAAAGGTCTATAATTTATTTAACAGTGTTTTGGAATTAATACTTGAAAAAACTATGGATGATATTTAGAATCAACACTTTAAAAACCCGGACAGATCGTCACCTTTTGCAGGTATTTCAAAATTAATCGGAGGTTCCAACATTAAATGAAAAGCAGAGTGAAATAGTAGAGGGGTTAACTTTAAAAACAGAGGGTGAATTAAAATACTGGCATAGAAATTATAGCTAAATTCCATGCATGTGAGATTAAAGAGCAGCAACATAGATAGAATACATTTTTTCTGTATTATTTTAATAAATGTCGGCTTAAATTTTGGACTGAAAATTCAGAAATTCTGAAAAATTTGGAAATCTGATGACATTTGGAAAAGTCACATCCCTGATGTGTAGTAACGTCAGACCTAGCACAATTGTTCTTAAAATAACCAAAACTTTAACCTGATATGAGTGTACCATTAATAAACTTAAAAAATCATTTTTAAAAAAAGATAGGCCTACCTCTCTTTAAAGCTGCTATTGCTTCATCATACAAATTTTGCTCCAGGTAGGCTTGGCCTAGAAAGAAATGCCCCTTTACCCATGATCTGTCAATTTCAAGAGCTCTCTGGCAATCTAGAATTGCTTTCTCCCACTGCCTGAGCTTCAAATGACATAAGGCTCTGTTTGTGAAGAATAAAGCTGTATTGGGGTTTTTTATCTGAGGACAAAAAAAAATATTTTTTTAAATTGACTAGATAGGCCAATTCTATTGAATTTTGAAAAAAAAATGAAATAGGCCTAAAAAATATTAAAATAGCAAAGTATATCAGAGACTTCCAGTTGGTTCTAGATCTAGACTAAGTCTAGATCTAGAATGAAGACTTACAAAGTTGATGAAAAAAAATATTGAAAAAACTTACGATAGCTTTCGTGTAACATGCGATTGCATCGTCGTATTTTCGTGCTTGAAACAATTTATTCCCTTGATTTCTTAATTCTAACGCACTCATTTCTGCTAATTTTGCTTATGTAACATTGACTTCAGCAAAATGATTAGTATTTCTTAAATATTATTTATTGGTCAAATAAAATACGCAATGTAGAATGATAAATTACTAAAATCTAGTAAAATGCGTGCTTTTCTTCAACAGTCAACACTTCATTGTTTTGTCTCCATGTTTACTTCCCATAATTCTCAATGTGGGCGGTACCTCACCGTGACAAAACCGAATATTGCCAAAAATCTACGTTTTTCAGATTAAACATACGCTAGACCTATTTTTTGTCAAGTGGCACAGTGGCTTGACAAAAAATTATGTATAATGTTTATATATTTTACTGCAATGATATTCATTAAACTATTTTTTAGAAACTGCAATTAACAAGACTATAGACTACTATAGAGATTCGCGCACATACTACTATTTATGCCTATCAGTGGCGTAGAGTCAAGGGAGGGGGGTGTTGGATAGGGACCACGGTGGAGGTATTGGTAGAAACCTGCCTTTGTTTTTCTTTGTTCTAATTAATAATCGCAGTATAACATAGTTCAGCTATTTAGAATGGTTGAAAAAAAAGCTGAACAAACTATATAGATCTAGGCCACAAGATCTACGCTACGTTTACATAGTTTTATATAGTCTAGTAATCTCTATAGTCTAATTTAAAAATCTAGGCCTAACTAAAGAGTTAACGTATTTCTGTGATGTTAAAAATTAGTATGGTTATAGTATGCAAGCATTACTAGAATTTAGATCTAGACTAGATAAATCTAGATCGATAAGCTAGATCTAAATTCTAGAGTCAGGCGCCCAGCACAGCCTATGTGTGCTACTTATGCACGACTAAGTCGGTCTGGAAACATACTTGGAAGCCCAACTTTCGAGTTAATGCTCAACCACGGTCCAACCTTCATTGCATGAGGCATATATAATAAATAATTAATATATGCGCGTTCTTTTAAGAATAGTCAAATAGAGAATGTTATATTAAGAACGGGTGCATTTTACCAAAAGTAATTTTTATGCCAACACAATTAAAAGCATCATAAACTCAAACAATTATTTTAAAATATAGACAATGGGCTAAATTAAATTATGTTACTTATGTTAGATTCCAACTTGAATCAAATCAATTTTGCTTTTATTCATATCGTACCCTTACCAAGTTGAGAATTTAAAAAAAAAATCAACAAGCTATTTCTGTTTATTTGTACTGTAACAGTTAACAGACTAGATGTCAACTGCACTTTCCTGTATTAAAGCAATATTCGAATTTTTTTTATCTGGCTAGTGCTGAACAGCCCAGCATCCGATGTACTTACTACTATTATAGAATTATTTTTTTCACTTGGAGCTTGCAGTTTTGAAAGATGGAAGCAGTCCATAATTTTTTTAAAGGTGCTTTACCTAAATATTTGAGGAACCTACCGATCCCTAAGACCTTTGGCGGCTTTGCCAATTTATCTGGTAAGTAGATCTATAGGCTAACTTTGGAGATTCAAGATGGGTCTTTTTATTTATTTTTTTTAAATTTTAAAGACAAAAAAAAAAGTAAAAGATCTCTAGATCTAGATTCTAGCTAGATCTAGATCTAGATCTAGACTTTAGAGATAGAATCTACAATCTAGAACTAGTGACTAGAGTAGACTGTAGAGTTTGAGGCAGAGAGTCTAATCTAAAAAGTAAAAGAAAAAAAAAAGCCAAATCAGTAAGATTATTTTTTAGTCTTTTAATTTAAGGACCCATCCTTAGTACTGTAGAATCAAGGTGTAGAATTATCTGAATGAATTAAGGATTGTGACTGTGTCATACTTAACTTTTTTGACGATTTTTATCTTCTTCCACTCCCCACTGTCAAATATCATTACAAAAAGTCAGACCCCCACACCTCAGCCAACATGTTATTGTCTTTAAAAGCACAGATTTATGCTGAAAATTGTGCTGATCACACTATCCCTTCATTTGCTGAGGTAACAGAAACAGGCTAGCTAGGTTTGAAAGGCAGCTTTACTAGTTACATCCTAAAACAAAGATTTAAATGACATATTTAGGGCCAGAAATATTTAAGTTAAGAAACTCAAGGATGATATTTCAAGTCGTCCCTTTGAATCCTGGTCAGAACGTCCGTGTTTGTCGTGTCGTCGTCGTCCCCCCCCCCCCCCCCCGACGGGCTTGTTACATTGAGTTAAATATAAACTCAAAACAATAATATAAACAATCTCATTTCAATTGTCTGCAAAATTTTACTGTGTAAACCATTTTGGGAAATAAAAGTATTTGTTCTTAAGTTGTATAATTTATGCCATGTTTTCACTTATGAATACATTATTAATTAAATAAATGATGATAAATATATTATATATTTAATGTCTTTAAAATAATGTGTATAGGCCTAACATTTTACGAAAACGTTTCTCTACATTAAAGTTCTTCACTTAGTGTGGATGGTCTGAACCAGTGGAACCGACTAACAAAAAAAACAAATATATAGGCCTATATATATATATATATATATATATATATATATATATATATATATATATATATATACAGTCAGACTTATATACTTATATATATATATTAAACAGGTGAAGATTGGTCCAACTTGACACCATTTTTACTTTCAATCATTTTGATTTTCTACATGGGATCCAAAACTTTGTTTGGTCGTAAAAAAGCAATACTTAAACCCAAGGTATTTTGTTAATTATTATCATTATACTTGATGTTTGTATACGAATTGTTAACAAAAAGAAACAATAGAAAACAAACTATTTAAATAACTTTAAAGCAACCAGAAATTAAATATGAAAATCCTTCTTTATATTTTATGTATATATGTATAGGTAAATCATAGTATCCAGAAGGAAGATTCCAAGGTAGTTACACAAATGGACATTGAGGACATTGGAGACAAGATTGCCTTCTGTAGATGCTGGAGGTCAAAAAAGGTTTGGTCAAAATTATAATTGCTGTTATGTGAGCTAGATTCTGTTTTAATAGATATGCTTTTAATCTCGTATGATGCAATGAAATTGAAACAATTTATAACAAAATTAACTTTTGTGGGAAAAAACTTCCCTTCAGCCAGGTAATACATTTATAAGCATAAACATAATTTCAACCGATATAACATTGGTGTTTGAATATAACACCTATTAATTTCCTATAGTTTTATTAATGAGATTTTTTTTCACCCTTCAGTTTCCTTTATGTGATGGATCCCATAACAAGCATAATGATGAAACAAGAGATAATGTTGGACCATTGTTGCTTAGACGCGCTGGTGATGAATAAAGAAACTCTCAGAAATCAGCTGACTCTTACACACCATGAGGGCAGTTTTATCTACCAGTTTTATTTTGTTCAAAAGATACTCCTGTTACTCCTATTAGAATTAACATTTCACTCCCCCCTCCCCTGCACTGTAGAATTATTTTATGGTAACTATTTAAACACTTTTGTTAACAGTATAAATTTAAATCAATGCTATTACATTCTTAGTGATGAAACTACAAAAATTAACTTGTTAAAATAATGTAAATGAAAAACTATTTTTGTTCGGAAAAATATAACATTTTTTTTTATTGTCTAGATCTATATGTTAAAATTGAAATGTTGATGATCTCAGAAAACTTGAAGTTTCAAATTTATTGTAGTGTAAGACAAGTGAAAATAAACGAATCAGTTTTTGCTATTTGTTAGTATGTATGAATATATTATTGATGTTAGATATTCGGAGTCCGTTCTTTTTTTTTCTTACATCATGTTTACTGGAGCTGGTTATTTTGAATAATATAATTCATATAAAAATGTTAAAATTCGAACTGTTATTTCCCTTGAAGCAACTCTTCCAGATACCAATGTGATGCATTCTTTGTTGCCTGCTGTAGAGTTTGTGAGAAAATTTGTCATGTTATGCCTTTAGAAACTTCTTTTCATACAAAATATTACTACTGTAATCTCAGTGCTGTATGTCCTCACTTTGATACTGCTTTGTTATAAGCATTAATTATAGGATATATCAATACCAAAACTTTTCTTACTTTTATATTTTGATGCATTGAAAGCTGTAGTTAAATCAGATATTTTCACTTGTTTAAAAAGATGTTCTAGAATTTGGTAGGCGGCTTGTTTTAATTGAAAATAATGAATATGTAAATTTAAAAATGTGTGTTTTAGACCTCATTAGCTATCCTGTTATGTATTATGTAGTGTAACTTAGATTTATCATTATTACTGAAATAAAAATAAGTTTCTACTAGAGGTTAGTAGAGAAACAAGCTTATAAAAGGGCATTAATTCTGAGCTGGACTTATCCTGATTCTTTGAAGTGTAATGTCCCTTCTTTAATATACCTTGGATTAACATTCCTTCTATATTATATTATATTAACCATACCAAAGTTTATTTTTTAGATTAATAGTTATTTATTAGTCTCTAGTGTATAAATAATAGTAATTGTAATTATTGTGGATTACATGTTGGCAGTAATTAAGCTGTGCTTTAAAGATTCTCAAGTTTTTGATACTTTTTTAAAATCTTTATTACAAGTAAACAAACATGTGCATAATTAAGATGCTTGTTTGATATATAAAATTATATATTTTTTAAAATATATTTTTTCATATATTTGTAACTCTACAAAATACAGATGTTGATTTTATATTGTATTTCTACACATACACTCTAGTTTAAATCACTTGTAGAGGTAAATAAAGATATATTTAGATGCATTTTGTTCCTGTTAAAAAATAATTTAACTTTAGACTAGCTGTTGTCTGATATATATAAAATTGTAAGCTTGTCTTTGATAACTTTGTTTAATATTTCACTTACTCAACTTGCCAGGACAATATTACCTTAACATTCCATAAAAATTGCCTATTTGGCTTAACAATCTGCTTGAAAATATGGATTGGGGTGAAGTAACCTCTCTATCAAGCTCCCATATGCTCACCAACTATGTATAGGTAAAAAAAATCTGATCAGCAGAAATGCAGTGTTTAAAGAGTAAGAATTCCATATCACCTTATATTAAAAGGTTTGATATTTGTACTGAGGCAATCAACAAATAGCTGCAGGAAGGCTATTAAAATATGATATCAACACATGTGTTGTGTGAAAAGGCATTATTTTTGGCTTATGGTGAGGAAATAAAACTTGCAACATACAAGTAGCAGCCTTCAAAGTATATCGCAACTCTCTGGGAAGATTATTGCAGCATACTACCCACTGTCTGGGAAGATTATCGAAGCATGCTAGCAGCTGCCTGGGAATATGAAGCATACTAGCAGCTGTGTGGGTATATGATTGAAGCATACTAGCAGCTGTGTGGGAATATGATTGAAGCATACTAGCAGATGTGTGGGAATATGATTGAAGCATACTTGCAACTGTCTGGGAATATGATTGAAGCATACTAGCAGCTGTGTGGGAATATGATTGAAGCATACTTGCAACTGTCTGGGAATATGATTGAAGCATACTAGCAGCTGTGTGGGAATATGATTGAAGCATACTAGCAGCTGTGTGGGAATATGATTGAAGCATACTTGCAACTGTCTGGGTATATGATTGAAGCATACATGCACCTGTCTTGGAATATGATTGAAGCATACATGCACCTGTCTGAGTATATGATTGAAGCATACTTGCAACTGTCGGGGTATATGATTGAAGCATACTGGCAGCTGTCTGGGAATATGATTGAAGCATACTTGCAACTGTCTGGGTATATGATTGCAACATACTTGCAACTGCCTGGGTATATGGTTGCAACATACTTGCAAAATACAGACTATTTTTTTTTACATTGATCAATTGGTATTACACTAATTTACTACTAATTACAGTTTACAATTTTTTTTAACATGTAAATTAACCGCGTAATTGCTTTTTTAAACATTTGTTTATAAAATGTATGACCTCATACAAACATTTCTCCCCTTTCCCCCTCATCCCCCTCACCCCTGATCAGACATCGTGACTTAATCTACACCGGGGTGTGACCTCATTTATGGTGAGTAATCAAACCCCTCCCCTGTGAATTCTAACACTAAAACTTGAGAAAACAAATCTTTATGAATAGAAAGTCTTATGTTCCACATAAAATGTTTTGACTTATTGATTGGATTTATTTTCGTTCACATTCAGTCTTGCGATATTGACGTCACACTTCAATTACCAGAAGTTATACAGACACTTCCATTCTAAGAAACTATTCAATTCTCAGAATGGCATTTTCTAGTCCATATAAACATACCGGATATATATATATATATATATATATATATATATATATATATATATATATATATATATATATATATATATATATATATATATATATATATATATATATATATATATATATATATATATATATATATATATATATATTAGTGGGGTATCCAGGGGGAGCAAGGCAGCGGCCGCTCCCCCCTTACGAGCATTTTATGGCAAAGGGCGCCTTTTTCGGAAAAATGAAGGATAATACCTTTGTCCATCGCGGGCAAAGTCTTCAACAGATTATTATTAAACAGAATGAAGGCAGGTATAGACCCCCAGCTTCGAGATCAACAAGCGGGCTTTAGGAAGGAAAGATCATGCGTACACCAAATTGCTACCCTGCGCATCATCATTGAACACACCCAATAGTGGAACTCATCTCTTTATATTAATTTCATAGACTATGAGAAGGCCTTTGATAGCCTGGTTAGACAGTCAATGTGGAAATTGTTGAGACACTACGGGGTGCCACAGAAAATAGTCAACATTATTATGTCTTCAAATGAAGGTCTCAAATGTAGAGTAGTGCATGGCCAACAGACTACAGAGGCCTTCCCAGTACGGACTGGAGTAAGGCAGGGTTGCCCACTTTCACCATTCCTGTTCCAGCTGGCCATAGACTGGATTATGAAGATGTCAACAGAGAAAAAGCGAAACGGTATACAGTGGACACTCTGGAAACAGCTGGATGACCTGGACTTTGCTGACGACCTGGCCCTTCTTTCTCACACACAACAGCAAATGCAAGATAAAATCAACAGTGTTGCTAATTTTTCTACTAGACTGGGCCTGAACATACACAGAGGGAAAAGTAAAGTTCTTAAAGTCAATGCATCAAACAGCAACCCTATAACATTGGCAGAAGAAGCCCTAGAAAAAGTGGATAGACTCACCTAACTTGGAAGTATTGTTGATAAGCAGGGTGGGACAGAAGCAGACATAAAAATAAGGGCGGGCAAGGCAAGAGCAGTCTTCAACCAACTAACAAATGTTTAAGGTTCTGGAGATTAAACCCTTGGAATAAAAATCCGGATCTTCAACACACTAGTAAAATCTGTTTTACTCTATGGAGCTGAGAAATGGAGAATAACTGCTATAAATTAAGAAAATACAATAATTTATAAACGCATGCCTCAGAAAGATCCTGCGAATTCGCTGGCCTATCAAAAATGATGTTCTATGGCAACGGACAAATCAACTGCCAGTTGAAGTAGAGATCCTCCAGAGAAAATGGAAATGGATTGGTCACACACTCAGGAAGCCTGTATCCAACATACCAAGACAGACCTTCACTTCACCTGGAATCCACAAGGCAGGAGGAGAGGCAGACCAAGAAAGACATGGAGACGTGACCTGGAAGAAGACACCAAAATGATTGGATACACCTGGGGAGAGTTGGAGAGACTAGCCCAGGACAGAGACGCTTGGAAAGCTCTTGTCAGCGGCCTATGTCCCAGGAGGAGCGACAGACAAACCTAACCTAACCTAATCTTCAATACATTTTTATTTGATTAGTTCACATAATATAGACATATGTATGCATACCATATTTTTTTTTACATCGGCATATGAAGGGATGCTGTGGTCAGCATTATGCCCACCCGCCTTTACTTTCCCCAACATAACTCAGGTACCCATTAGAGCTGGGTGAAATCAGGGAGGACCTACTGTCGCGCCGAGATCCGAATTAGAGACATTCGGGCTAACAGCCAAACAAATTACTTTATATGCCCAATGGATCGCTAGGTCTTAAGAAGAATCTTCACTATGCATACAATGTCGTTAATACATTTAAAGGGGGGTGGGATGAAGTTCACAAGGGGTAATTGCCTACACACAGACCACACGCACATCAACTTAAATATAGGCTAATTTAAAACAAGTAATTGGTCTTTTGATTTAGTACTGCCAAGTAGCCATACATACATTTTCAAATTAAAAACAAAAGCACGGACGAAAGTGTGCCGTGAAGACAAAACATCTCTAACGTTATGCCCAGCACTTGTGATATTCTTCTCCACGATCTCACGTGAAGAAAAACATCGACAGCTTGCCAGGGGGGTTTTGCGTTACTAAATGTATCATTAGTGTGCGCGTATGATTAATCAGATCAATTAAGCAGTGCCGGATTAACCATTATATAAAATAAGCTTACATACCATTGTGGATAAATAGAAAGGCTTATCGGCTTCAGCCAGGTGCTCCGAATGTTAGAGGCCTTAATCTGTAGGTTTAAAGTGAGGGGCCCAGGGTTAATTTTCACCCAGCCCCCTACCACCGTGTTCATTTTCATTGTACACCCCTACCCCCTACCCCCTATCCCAATTCCCGCTCGCAAATGATCCACGCCTACATTGAACTAAAAATTAAATATAGCACAAAAACAACTTTTTCACGAATTGAAACCTCAAATGATGCAATAAAAAATAATAACAATTATTTTTTACCGGTCATCAGCTCAAGTAAAACAAAACATAAACTAATTGGTTTCAATACTGGGATTTCGGCAACATTTCTTACGGTAAGTGAAATCGTTGAAATTTGTGTGCTCAACTTTCTTCCACGGTTTCACATCAAACGGGAATACCCAAAAAAACCCATCAATAAATAAGTGTGGTGCCCAAGTGTTTTTGTGACGTCACACCAAGAAACCAAACTTGTTGTTCTTCCGACATTGAGGCGGAGTATTCTAAACCATACTTGTTAAACATATGTGTTTATGAAGGTAAGAGATGAAGAGGTGACCAAGTCTCACTTGTGGCATAAAGAGGCGAAAAATAAGAGCATTCTACAAAAAATAGGTAATTAGTAGATTTAATCATTAATCTATCTAGTAATAATAGAGTTTGTATTTGCATTCTCATTCTCCGACTTGCCAGCTAGTATAAAAAGCAGTAAAGTTCCCCTTTCAAACCTGACGGTCTATAGGGCAAGTGAAGTAGAGTTCACGTGTTACTGTGACCTCGGCATATGAAGAGACTGTGGTCAGCACTATGCCCAGCCGCCTTTACTTTCCCTAACGTGAGTTAGGTACCCATCAGAGTTGGGTGGACTCAGGGACGATTCACTGACTTGAACTCGTATATGAACTCGCGACTTACGGGTTAGCAGTCCAACTCTCTGCCGCTAGACCACTCCGTCCAATTGCCTGCTGGTGTATTTCAAACTAAATATTTAAATAAAAAATTAAATCGATAAAAAAATAAAACAGAAAAGTTACTCTCGCCCGCCTGTGTAATTAATAACTTGACACTAATAGTCTAGACCTACCGGTACTTCATTTGCTTCCATTATTAGTAGATCTAGACATTTTATGCTTGTTATACTTTAAATCTTGAATCCGTAACTTTGAGTTCTCCATATATTGCTGAAGATATTGATCTCATAGCCTCGGAAAATATGTGACGGACAGAGAGAAATAGAGAGAGGGAGAGGTGCACACATGGGCTCTCATATATATATATATATATATATATATATATATATATATATATATATATATATATATATATATATATATATATATATATAAACTGTAGATGTCAAACATACTAGTTTAATGAGTGTAATACGATTTATTCCCTAATAATTTATGTTGGTTAAATGTGATCCTGGTCATTGAAGATGATTTGTTTGTTTATGCTCCCAGACTCCAAAACTTCCGTTATGCCAAGCTGCTACGATAACCCACCTGTTGTAGCTGTTGTGGTGAAGACAAGAGGCTGTCTCTCTCCGTATGTGGTCTTCCTGCTGCTGGTCATGGCAAACTTGTGTAAGTTGGCCATTCATATATATATATATATATATATATATATATATATATATATATATATATATATATATATATATATATATATATATATATATATATATATATATATATATATATATATATATATATATATATATGTGTATATATATATATATATATATCCAGACATTCATTTGGTTGTGTGTGTGGGGGTGTATGTGAACTAAGCTAGAGAATTAAAGAATTAAGCCACATGACACATAATCTTTGCCCTTGTTCCCAGGTGTTGTGACCGCCGAGGAACCAAACATTTTACACATGTTGAAGGACATGTTTGGCGGCGAGAATAAGTGAGTTTGTAAAATACGATCCTCGTTTCTTTTGGTTCCTTGTGGAACAAAGGGCATCTGTCACTGCTGATCAATTAACAAGGCCTTTTTATCTAAGTATAATTTCCCGTTTCTTGTCTCTAAGTCAGTATGAGGGCTGCTGGGCTATATAGAACTAGCAATACTAGACCTTCATATGCCGTAACCACAAAAAAAAAAACCCGGATAAACTCTTCTTTATCTGCCCTTATCCACTAAAAATAAAGTAAGGAGACATTTAACTCAAATACTCTGCGAAAAAAAAGTCTATTGTTTAAAATTTCTTTTAGGAATTTGCAATTTGAGGTCAAGGGAGGCCATATAAAGGTGATGGCGATCACAGCCACGGACGCAGATATCATAATAAGAACAAGAACGAATGACAAGGACTGGATCGTCTACTCTCTTGTCATTCTAATGACTGCTGCCTGCATCAGTGTTTCAATCATTTGTAAGTTACTACAATATTTTTTTAACTTTTAAAACGTGGTCTTTTTACGACGCAGTACGTGGGTTCGAACCAATGTAAGGGTGAAGGAAATCGATTTTAGGAGTTACTTCCCATTACTTTTTTATATGTTCTCATATATTTGTGGGAAAGATGTTCAATTATTTCATTTAAATTGACCTTTAAACTTATCTAGACCTACATGCCAGATAAAAAAAAAAGCCTCCCAGAACATATTTTTGGTAGAGTTAACGAAAAAGTCTCTTCTTAGGTTCCTAAACCGTTTTCACCATTCATTTACGGCTGACTTAAATCTCAAAATTAGCCATAAGCTCATCAAACCATCAAACCATGTGTGTTTGCGGGGCCAGGGGGGGGGGTGTTCACATTTTATGCAAAATCAATAATATTACAAACAATGGCATCATTCTCTGCACATTATATTAGAAGCTCTGCAAATTAAATCAAGAACTGCACTTTATATCACAAGCTCTGCACATTATATCACAAGCTCTGCACACTATATCACAAGCTCTGCACACTATATCACAAGCACTGCACATTATATCACAAGCGCTGCACACTATATCACAAGCTCTGCGAATTATACCACAAGCTCTGCACATTATATCATAAGCACTGCTATTATATTACAAGCACTGCAGATTATATCACAAGCACTGCAGATTATATTACAAGCACTGCAGATTATATTACAAGACCGACTAGCTTCTGATTAAAACCGGCTAGCATCTGACTAAGACCGGCTAGCATCTAAGACAGGCTAGCATCTAAGACCGGCTAGCATCTAAGACCGGCTAGCATCTAAGACCGGCTAGCATCTGACTAAGACCGGCTAGCATCTGACTAAGACCGGCTAGCATCTGACTAAGACCGGCTAGCATCTGACTAAGACCGGCTAGCATCTAAGACCGGCTAGCATCTGACTAAGACCGGCTAGCATCTGACTAAGACCGGCTAGCATCTGACTAAGACCGGCTAGCATCTGACTAAGACCGGCTAGCATCTGACTAAGACCGGCTAGCATCTGACTAAGACCGGCTAGCATCTAAGACCGGCTAGCATCTGACTAAGACCGGCTAGCATCTGACTAAGACCGGCTAGCATCTGACTAAGACCGGCTAGCATCTGACTAAGACCGGCTAGCATCTGACTAAGACCGGCTAGCATCTGACTAAGACCGGCTAGCATCTGACTAAGACCGGCTAGCATCTGACTAAGACCGGCTAGCATCTGACTAAGACCGGCTAGCATCTGACTAAGACCGGCTAGCATCTGACTAAGACCGGCTAGCATCTGACTAAGACCGGCTAGCATCTGACTAAGACCGGCTAGCATCTAAGACCGGCTAGCATCTGACTAAGACCGGCTAGCATCTAAGACCGGCTAGCATCTGACTAAGACCGGCTAGCATCTGACTAAGACCGGCTAGCATCTGACTAAGACCGGCTAGCATCTGACTAAGACCGGCTAGCATCTGACTAAGACCGGCTAGCATCTGACTAAGACCGGCTAGCATCTGACTAAGACCGGCTAGCATCTGACTAAGACCGGCTAGCATCTGACTAAGACCGGCTAGCATCTGACTAAGACCGGCTAGCATCTGAACACTTATGACTCCCATATGATCAGGTCCGGCACCAATCTGACTTGGTCCGGCTCCCATTTGAAGGTGCTCGAGCGCTATATACCTTACAGAGAGATTAAAAAGCGTCTTATATAAGGTAACATTAACTTTAGAACCTGGCAGAACATGGCTAGATAAAGTCAAGTCCATCTGTTTCTTTGACCTCGACATTATGCTCGTTTGCCTTTACTTTTCATAACATACAGGTACCCATCAGAGCTGGGTGGACTCAGGGACATCCCACGGGCTCCGAATTTGGGACATTCGTGTTAGCCGCCCGACCACACCGTTCCACTAAAGCAACATTGACAGAGCCGATACAGTCATTAGCATTATGTTATGAGATGAACTGTTTCTGTTTTCTCTTCCAGTTGGTTGCCGCCGCAGCAAAAAATCGACCGAGACTGTTGAACCCAGAACCTGCCAAGCTCAAGACAACACAAAGTAAATATTTGTTACCCTTCTTCTCCATGATTAATTTGTAACATCGAGGTTTCCTGCAACAGATTTAGGTGTTACATGAAACAAATTATGCGTATGCCTCCATGTGTCTCTATGACTCCAGCCTCAGCCTGCTTTTATTTCGAGATGTAATTCAACATTTTATTGTGTAGTTCTATATTTTAGTGTAGCTGCAGCAGAGTTTCTTTTAGGCATCTCTTCGGCACATCCGCCCCCCACCCTTTTTGTGAAATAGATTTTTTTATATAGAAAATTTAAACTTTACCCCCCCCCCCCCTCTCGAAATAAGTTTCAAGTGACATCCGCATTACCACTCCACCAGAGAAAGACATGAAAGAAAGGAAGACTGCGATGCAGCAATAATTATGTTAAGCTTTAGTATTTTTGTGTCATCTAAGAATATTTTTGTCTAGTCATTTGGGCATTTCTCTTGCCCTAGTATTTACGTAGGTTTAACATAAATTTGTGTAGCCTTGGTATCTTTTTGTACTTAAATATAGTTGCATAACCTTGGTATTTTTGTTGTTGCTTTAATATCATTGTGTAAGTCTACTATCTTTAATATTATATCGCTTGTTTTACCTACTATAGATAATGCAATCTTTATCTTTAGGGAAACCGCTGCAACACCGCAAGACTCTGAAGCAAGTTCCGGATCAAAGGAGAGTCCCAGGACATGTAAGTTTAGCTTCAAATGTTGATCATTAATTTTTTAAAATCAAGTACTTAATTGAATAATTTAATTTAAAGCGGTTAGTACTAAGCCTACATTGACAAAGCACTTCGGTACACTACACAGGCATACTACGCTAACAAATGTAAATGTAAATACTTGTAAATGTAGTATGTTTCAGCGCTATCTAATTTAAATATGTATATTTATAAATATAGATATAATAAAAGATTTTTTAAATATATTTTCAACACAGATTTGAAGGCATTGAGAGATTCAGTACCGGAGAACTCGGCTTCTGTGGCTGAAGGACGCACCTGCTCTAGGAGAACTTACCTGTTCTTTGGATTTCGCAATATGCTATTCTTCCTGTTGCCTACCATTGGTATCGTCTTGCTGCTGGTTGGCTGGACTACTCAAGATGCAAGATGCAAGTTTTAGAAGATAAGTTTTAGATTGAATTAAATTAAATAATTTTTTGAAAATATTGCGTTTTCCTTACATTTATTGTGTTCTATACTTCAAGAATTTGCTTTTTTGTGGTATTGTTTGTTTGTTATTGTTTTTATTTTTACAGAAAAGCTAGTGTGTGCTGTAGAATTTTTTTTTAGTTCTAAAAAATAAATATTGTGAAAAATATGTGAATTTCGTGGGAATAATGGTAAAAGTATTTGCTGTAAGACCTAATTACTCGCGCAATGCCTCGGCTACTGAAAAAAATGACTCAAAGAGATCGCCCTGATTGTAAAGCAAGTCAAAGTAGCCATGACAAGTCAATTTAACTCTTATTAGTTAAAAAAGCTCTGACAAGTTAAGATACATATGACAAGTCAAGATAGATCTGACAAGTCAAGATACCTATGACAAATCAAGATAGATCTGACAAGTCAAGATAGATCTGACAAGTCAAGATACATCTGACAAGTCAAGATACCTCTGACAAGTCAGGATACATCTGACAAGTCAAGATACCTCTGACAAGTCAAGATACCTCTGACAAGTCAAGATACCTCTGACAAGTCAAGATACCTCTGACAAGTCAAGATACATCTGACAAGTCAAGATACCTCTGACAAGTCAAGATACATCTGACAAGTCAAGATACCTCTGACAAGTCAAGATACCTCTGACAAGTCAAAAGTCAAGATACATCTGACAAGTTAAAAGTCAAGATACCTCTGACAAGTCAAGATACCTCTGACAAGTCAAGATACCTCTGACAAGTCAAGATACATCTGACAAGTCAAGATACCTCTGACAAGTCAAGATACCTCTGACAAAATGGAATAACTTTGGTCAGCAGACTTGTCCACAAAACAGCGACCTAACCCAGATGTTATCTTGAGACTTTACTGACACAAATACCTTTCAAAAAGGAATGAGGAAGTTGTTCCACCCGACCAGACGACACTGATCTACCACTTAAGTGCACCCCCACCCACCCTGGCCCCTCCCCTGTATTATCACTTTCAGTGTTCTCTTTAGAACGTTTTTATTTTCTTTCTAATAACATTTACACTGACTCTTCCTTCTGGATAATATGTAGATAAACACTTGAATATAGTCGCTAAAATTTCTACAACTATCAGTTTTGGTTTAGTTTTCCAATGTAAAATGTTATACATTTACGTTTCTTAGAATTAGGACTATTTATTATTTACCCTCTCAAACTATGTAGATTTATTGATTGATTGATTTGTGTTCAAGTACACAGATCTGCGAATGACGTCACACGTGAAATTTCTAGAAAATATGTAGGTAGGCCTATCTCAAATCTATAAAACTGCTGTTTTCCCAGAATTTCACATGAATAAATATAAAATTATATATATATATATATATATATATATATATATATATATATATATATATATAGTGATTTTTCAATGTGATTTTTAGTGGCCTATCTAACTATTTCTAGGGTATCCCCGCCCAGCGGTCTCTGTAAACATTTGACCAATGAGAATACTGTTTTTACTTACCTTGTCTCAAAGGTCAATACATTTAAATCATTTTCTTGACCTTTGTTATATAGGCCATTGGCATACTGATAATTTAGTCTATGGACTCAATACATGAGCCCATACAACCTTTAGGGCCTATAGAAAAAAAAAAAACATGACCCACTGTGTTAAGACCCTTTCACTAATTATGACTATTATTCGCCCTCACTTATAAATTCCGTCTCTTCTTATTTTCTGTTAAACGTAACAGTCCCACGCGTATTTTCTCTATTATATAATGGCGCGTTAACTGATACTTTAGAATAAAAAAAAAAAATCAATTATTGCTTCGGTCTGAAAAAAAAATCGATAGAGCTAATCAGATCAACTGATCAAACAAAATTATGTAGCATATCGGCATTTCTTTCTAGAAACACCGCCGCCACATTTAGTATTCAGTCTGCAAGAAGTTTCTTTCAAGTTCGCCTAGACGCCCCTTTTGTGCATGGCCATAGCTATCGTTGCGCAAAAGAATACAGAATAGCATGGGAGACTACTCAAGTAAAATATTGGATCACGTACATGATATCCCAGGGGATTGTATAGCCTCCCTTGAATTTGTTGGATTGAAGTGTCATTTATCGTAATCAACACAGCGAGACGTTTTTCTATAGGTGTAAACTGAGACAGGCATAGACAACTCTGAATATTTTAAACGACCTGCAGTCACAAGATAGTGCTGACAATTTTATAACAGTAGTATAACTTGTAACATAGACCCCCATACCTCTCCAAACTAATGGCCATTTTAAAGAAATAGTCCTTTACTATTTTTAAAAGCTTAATCTAAGGTTTCATCGACGTCAACAAAGTATGTTTCGATTAATAAAATAGAAATAATTAACTTTCAAGACCCGACTCTGCTATGTGGAATTTCTCCACCCAACTAATGCTGGGTACCAGTGGGGTAGGCGGGAGGGGGGGGGGTTAGGGCGGTTAAAATCCCCCCATAGACCCCTCGGTATATATATTTAAAGTTTGAGGGGGGTGCAAATCTAAAGTTTGAGGGAGGGGATGCAAATCGAAAGTATGAGGGGGGGAGGTGCAAATCGAAAGTTTGTCCCTGGGACATATAACCCCCCCCCCCTCCCCCCCCCCCCCCCCCCCCCCGCATAAGACGATCCTGGCTACGCTACTGCTGGGTACCGGTTTTGGCTGGGTGATCTTGGTGACGTTCTAATGTGTCACAATAGTGACGTGAACCCAAACAACACGAGTGAAGACTGTCGGCGACACCTACCCTTTCAATTAGAAGCAAAAAGTAAACTTAGAGAAAATTTTGGCAACAACTCTTTAATAACACTGACGGACAATCGAAGTACGAAAGTTTAGCAGTAAAAAATGTATCGGGAAGTTCCTGGTGTTTTGAAAGAAAACGGACACAATCCCACCCCCATTGAAGTGTAGACACCAACCTTACACCAGGAAATACCACGAACAAAGGCGACCCCTAAGACGTTACTTGAACACTGTCTTTAACACCGCCCAGTTGGGGGTTATGGTCCATTAATTCAAATATTTGCTCTCTACCACTCCTTAGGTCATGCAGTTACCGCCCCACCCCGCCATTTAAAAATGACATTTGTACTTTGAAACAACGAAACAAAACCGGTTGCTTCTCTTCCTCCCACAGCGGTCGCAGTTCATTCAAAATTATTTATTGATTAGCGTTATACAATCTGATTACTGTAGGCCCTATGATATTTTTTAAAATGGTAAATTTTTTACGATAATTAATTGTTTGAACACCTGTTGATATAATTGCTTTAAATATTATTACTTATTTATTTTCTTTACAAAAAGTTTAAAGTTCGAAATAACCTGACTTAGTGTATACATATTTTTTTTGTAAATATTCGATTTTATATGAAAGTTAACTATTTCACCAGCTATGTATATAACCTCATAATTCATGTTGTCTCGTTTTCTAGTAGGCGCGAAGTTAGTCGACGATGTTGCGACCAGCAGTGCAAGTTCAAGCTTGATAAGCCCCCTTCTCAAGTGTGTAGTGCCCTAAGTAAAACACCCAGATTTAACTACCTTGAACAGTAATCAGACATTACACCCTAACTTCACTAAACCCTTACAGACGACGTCTTAACTTCTGCTATCTTACCAACTATCAATACCAGTGGCGTAGGCAGGGGGGGGGGGGGGGTTAGGGGGGGCCCCATAGACCCCTCGGTATATATATATAAAGTATGAGGGGGTGCAAATCGAAAGTTTGAGGGGGGGGTGCAAATCGAAAGTTTGAGGGGAGTGGTGCAAATCGAAAGTTTGAGGGGGGTGCAAATCGAAAGTTTGAGGGGGGGGGGGGGGTGCAAATCGAAAGTTTGTCCCCGGGTACAAATTGGAACCCCCCTTGAGACGATCCTGGCTACGCCACTGATCAATACCATTGTTCAGATGGCCTGATATTACTCTCAATACATCGACACTGTTTCCTGATAAGACAGCACACAATTTTTAAAACCACAATCAATTTTCCACCTGACAATGTTATTCAACAGATAAGAAACGTTATCTTTACACGTCAATGGCATGTATGTCAGGGGTATCTGTCAATACTAGACTAGCTAGATATAACAAGATTGTTCTTGGGCTTGCAGCGACGAGTTTTGTCCCCTGCTGTTTAAGGTTCTTACGTCTATGGCTTGTTATGATAAATCATGCAGTCTGTAGGCTAAGGTTCTTGTTTGTACGGGTTACAGCGATGTGTTGCGTCCCCTGGTTCTTGCCTTAAAGACTTTCAGCAAATGTTATGTCCCCTGCGGGCTAAGATCCTTGGCGATATTAATGATTTCAATTAGGCCAAAGTTAATAAGCTCCATCATTCATTACTTCCTATATTTAGAGATATACACATGGGCACCCGATCGCCAACATCTAGTCAACATGTACACAAGTTTACTTAAAAATGTGTACTTGGCTTTATTTAAAAAGGTGTACACATGTGAATGTATACAAAGATCGCTTTGTAAACGCTTATCGGACTTGTGTTTATTTTTATGTAACAATTCACACATTTCACCGCGACAGTTATATGCAGGTCATATTCGATCTCGGTCTTATAGACTTTAAATAAACAATAAAAACGACTTAAGATACTAGTCGTTGTTCCCTTGCTCGTACGGGTTCAAGATTGAACATGAATTTTTTATTGTTCTTCAAATTCCTTCACTGATCACTAGTTGAGTTGGCAGTGTCAGATAGCAGCTGACGGATTTATTATCTTGCAGACGGTGCCAAAGGAGCGCCTGCTGCTCCAGATTTTGTTTGCTCTACAGCACCGAGTCGTATTTCCACAGCTAAAGAGGTCGTGTTCCATTTTTAGATCCAAGTCAGGGAATTTTTTGTTCGGTGTTTCTACCTGCTACTTCCCGAAGATATTAATAGGTCTTGTCGCGTTTTCCAATAGCCTCTACTCTTTTCTAGAATTACTCCAT